TGGCACAAAGTCAAGCATATTTTCAGCCATCTTGATGCATGCTCAATTATCTATTTAAGTAAATCTCAAAAGGTAGCGCTTTCAGTGGGAGAAACGTTTCGTTACTCATCCAAGTGACTTCTTCAGTCTCAGCTGACTGCAGGTTTCCCCAACCTTATAAACAGTACATTTGCACAATGACTGCAACTAGCTCACTGAATGAACAATGGGCTGTGAGGACAGTTCCTTGATCATTAATATGCAAATTGTCATGACCATTGATCAACAACCACCAATCAAAGACCATTGATCATTGATCAAAGACCATTGAGCAATGGCCATGAGTACCATTCACAGAGAGTTGGGGAATGGCTGCAATCACAGCAACCACTGGAGCACAAACTTGGTGTCATAAAATAAAAGGAAATTATAAATTGTAAGAAGTGTGCAAAAGGAAAAACCAGAGTGTGTGTGGAGATGAGATGTGTGTGAAAGAGTTCAGTCCTACACCTGGTTCGGTGCCCGAATAGCCGGGGAGAAGAAGCTCCTGCTCATTCTCTCCGTTTTGGCCTTAAAGGAGCGGAAGCGCTTCCCAGAACTCAACAGTGAGCAGAGTCCATTGTTGGGATGGGAGAGGTCCATCAAAATCTTCCTGGCTTTGGTCTTGCACGGCTTGGTGTAGATGGACAGCAGGTCAGGAAGCTCTGATCGAATGATGCGTTCGGCCGAGTGCACCACTCATTGCAGATCTCGTCTGTCCTACTTGGTGCTGTTCCTAAACCAGGTGCAGATGTTTCCCATCAGGACGCTCTCAATGGTGCAGGATTAATAGGTTTTAAGCACCCTCAGTGGCAGATGGAAGTCTCTAAGTCTTGTGAGGAAGAAGAGACGCTGGCGGGCTTTCTTAACCAAGGTGTTAATGTGACAGGACCAGTGATGGGAATAACGGCGTTACAAGTAATGGCGTTACTAACGGCGTTACTTTTTTCAGTAACGAGTAATCTAACTAATTACTATTCCTATCATCCACCTAAGTGGACACGTAAAAAACTCTTTGAAAAGTACATGTTTAAAAAAATGAAGTTCGAAAATCTTTTTT